AGTTTGGCCATTAAAATGCGTTTTGATGTCATTTGATGCGAGAAATATGAGTTGTTATTTCAGATTATGTGTGCAGTGGATGTACATGATCTTTAGTTTGCTAGTTATTACGAAGATTACTTCAGGAAATTGCGTCCATAACGTTTTCATTTTTACCAAGGTGGTTGCTAGGGACGCTGCTATCGATATTATGTCTGTTATGTTGTGTAACTGTTTAATGGTGTTATCTTTATTGCTACCCCCTTCCCTGTCAGTGTTGGTCCACAGCGCAAACATATTAGTTTAACAAAATCCGCATCTAAAGATAGCCTACGTTATTTTTCCCCTGTGCAATTCCAGTCTCACATCTCACAGCACATCGTCATTAACAAATAACGGAAACAGACCGAAAACATTTTTAAAAAATACAATAATACTTTATTCCGAGTGTGCTTGCTTTTCTCTTTGGAAGTCATCACATAACGGCATTGTAATACACGGTTCGGCTGCATTAAATATTACATATCTGCCGTAGTTCTGTATTTATAGAGCCCTGATGAGAAGACTTCTAGACAAACATGAGGAACTGAAAACGTGACGTGGATCATAAATATATCAGCCATTAAACAACATCTTACATTTCTTTTCACACAATACGTCTCCTTGCAGTATCAACACTAATTCGGCTGACTTTTATATTTGATCCAATTGGTAGATAGGCTGTATTTACACCATAAAGGTGCACAGCTGATATAAAGGGACACCTAGTGGTTAAAGCATGTTATTGAATTTCATTATTTTTATTATTAGATATTAATAGGATCCCTATAAAGTATATTAATTACTCGTTATTCTCTACTAATAGTTAATTAAAGACTGTATATAATGACTATTTTGCACATCCCTTTCAAGATTTCAAGATTTTCTAAGGTTTATTGACATATCATATAGGCCTACACAACTATGGTGTAGTTATAAATTGAATGAAAAACTTGGGTCGCAGGTTTCTCAATAGTGCATTACAAGACATCTATCAATATTTGTGCATACCTCCAGCAATGTTAACTATGTTGAAGCAATTATTTTAACTGATATTATACATAATGTATTATACTCTTATAAGATGTATGTAGATATTTCATCTCCGACCTTGTCAGGTATTGAACAATCAATAAATAAAGAACACAGAATTGTTGAATATAAAACACAGAATTTGTGTGATTATACTAAATGATTTACAAATAAACACCACTGCATTTTAACTGTTACACATGCTGATGTAACGCAAATGTTCCAACTTGAGATCAATAAAGTATATCTTATCTTAAGCTGATCGATGGCTACTGCCATATTTGCAAAATGTGCCTCTGAACCTTAACAAGTGCATGTTTCAGGCTTATCAATTAATGTAATGTAATGTTATCAATTAACAACAGGGGTCACAAACATAAGACCAGCTGTTAAATAAAGCTCGTCTGACCTTAGCTGGCATGTGTGTATATATATTAATGCTGCCCATTATGGGCACAAGCAATTTTCACCCATTTATTAATTATATGTTTTAAATGTGAGTGTTTCCTATCCCCTAAACCTCCAGGGATGTACACAGTTTAATACTGGCAACTTCTTATTATGGGAAATACGAAAACGTCTTTTAAAACTACAACTCCCAGTAGAGACGTGCCATAGATACAGAACATGTTGCGAAACAGAATAGCCAGCATTTGTAGTTCTGGGGACGGGGTGGGGGAGGGGGGGACGCGGTGGACCCGTTCAAATCCAGTTTTGGACAGTCTGCCGTGATTCCATCCCATTTCAAGTGCTGTTCGAGAATCGGCGTAACCCCGGAGCACACTCTCCAATCACAGAGCTTGAGGACTATCACGGGGTTTGTCAAACAGAGCACATGGTGTAGTCCAAACGATAGCTGGGGATTCTGGGTAGTGTAGTGTCTTCTGCCATCCTTTACTCCGAAAAAACATTTGTTTCTCCGAATCGAAGGGGAAAAATACAAAAGCATTGCACACAATTTAAACCAATCAATGTTGTGTAATTAACAAGGATAATCTGGTGTTTTTTAGTCGATGAGTAGTGCAGATATCACTGTAAAATCAATCGACAGTAAGGGGAATACTTACTTCCGGGTGTACAATTATCCGTTATCCAATGAGAATGGACGCTCACATTGCCTTTAAGGGCAGCCGACACAAACGAATGCCGTGCTTCCATGAGCGTCCATAGAAGCATATGGACATCCCGGAAAGCTGAAAATGGACGCTAAGGGCCCCCCCCTTGCGTTGAAAATGGACGCTAAGCCCCCCCCCCCTTGCGTTGGAAAAAGCCGACAGGGGACTTGACATAACGTCAACATAGGCCGATCTGGGAGTGAGGATGTGTTGCTTAGAGATGTCCCGCCCCTTAACCTATCACATATAATGTGTTGGAGCGCTACCCAATTGAATCGATGTTAACAAAGGAGTTCAATGGAGGCGTTTCAGGCAGGGGGGCGGGTGTGGAAGAAAACTCCCCCTGGCATGAATTTGGGTATTTTAGCCTTTGATGACCATGTACATGCACAAAAGCATACTACAGGAAAGGGAAAACCTCAAAAAGCATAATAGGGTCCATTTAAATGAAATAGAATAAGTGCCTGTTCATTGGCCAATGGGAGCATTTGTCCGTTCTTCAGAAAGGGAAACACGTGTCGGATTATCGTTTTGTTTTTGTGGACATTTAATCTACTGTAGGTAGCGATTTGAAAATGTGAAAAAGCACCGTAGGCTAAATACTGAGAACCGTTTGGTTGTTTAGCAGACGGACAAAGTTAGCTACTAGTTGCATATAGTGGAGAATTAAGAAGTTTGAGAACCATCATTTCTCCTCAGGAGTTAGTGTGTACAAAAAAAGAGCCAAATGGACGGTCTGTTGGTTTGTTTGTGGTAAATATTGATTATTCCTCAGGTGGTCATAAACACAAAACCAAATGAATGCTAATGTCCCTCCGTATCTACTGCATGTATAAATAAGCAGTTATTTGTTTAGTTCGGCAACTTAAAGGGTGTTAATATGTTGGTGTTGTGTTTACAGCCGGTTTAAATGAATATGTTTGTGCCTATATAAATGTGTGTTTGTCCAAAACGATCAGACATAGAAACACCAATGCAAGAAACCCTCTCATAAATGTTGTAAAACACGAGCCCTTGGTACACAAGTCAGAGTGGGTTGAGGCCTTTTGGAAGTTCTATTTGACCCCCCCTCTCCTCACAGGAAACAATCTTGGCTTGTACGGGAAGATAACATCTGGCTAGATATGCATTTTCTTCTTCCGGCCAGAATGAGATGATAAGATATATGCAGTTGGATGTTTTTCCATCCATGTTTGACAAGTGAACAGAATTGAATTTAAAAAGGAAAAGCATCTGTGCATTCTTGATTTGTTATGAATCAATGACTTTATTCTGTAGCTGACAGCCTGTCCTGTTTACCTGAAGGCGCAAAGTCTTTACTGTCACCACTTGTCACAAGAGATTTCCATGTGTGTGGCAATTACAGTGTTTGTTGGTGGCTGCTGCTGGGTCCTCTGGGTATCTGTATCGCTGTATAATTCCATCCTCCTCTCTTCAAAGTAACTCTATCACTCAGGGAGAAGCAGACAGAGGACATCCACAGATAAATCCTTTTAAGGTGTATTACGAATCTATTATATAATGGTCATCTGCTCACAGGATGTCAAGGTAGACATTGTGTTTGCCCTGGCGTCAGTGTTACAAAGCACTTTTTCCATCAGTCATGTATCACTCACCCTATCTCAGGTCTCTTATGCACAAGTAGACTTCATTAGGGCACAAAAACAAAGGTCATATAGTGCCCCCGGTGGCCAGTAAGGGAGACTATTAGAAGATCAAAGAGAACCAATACTACCACCTGAAGGCAAAGAATGAGCCTCCTTTTTTATCATCTCCCATTTTAACAGTGTTTAAATGGGCTGCAGATTCATTTGCATTGTGTGTAATGTATTGGAAACTATTTAAAAACACATTTTAATGATGGAGTGCAATGTCTTGATTAAATGGGGCAAACCAAATGAAACCAGAAACAAAGAGGCTCTATGCAAAGCAACTGCAGCTCAGGGTGTTCAGGGTGTGCACGTTAAACCCAGAGCCCTAGAGAGATAATAATTATCTCTCTAGGGCTCTGGTTAAACCTAGCAGCTTGTCTCTAGATTTTAGGTAAGGTGTTCAAAACAATAAGATCCTCAAACTCGGCCTAAGAATGAAGAACACAATCTATCTATTTAGAGCAGAATAGATGATTAAAAAAAAAACTCACATATGTTGGCAAAATGTGGAGGGATTATATCTCTTCGCTGGCCCTGTAGCGCCTTGGGATCCCCCAGTCAGAGCTGGTTGATGCCGCCAGGGAAAGGAAAGTTTGGGGCTCTCTGCTGGAACTGCTACCCCCGCGACCCGACCACGGATAAGCGGGAGAAGATGGATGGATGGATTTTGGCAAAATGATTGAACAACACATTTTGGGATATCCATTAACTTAACCTGATGTTAGCTTGTCAAATCGCCCTCCCCTAAACATAAGATAAAAGCAATTGTTACTTCATGTTGTTATCTTTTAAAAGACATATGCACCTTACTATGTATCATAAATTAAATGTGACTGGTGTTAGGAGTGAGAGTGCGATTATCTGCCATTCATTTTAGACTGTCCTTGAGGTGCCATTGAGCACGTTTTTCACCCCCTTTTCAAAAAGACAGCCACTTTAAAAAAAAAAAAAACATACGCACGGCTGTGTCAATTTGAAGCAGAGTAGGCCTACTACTAAAACAGAGCACAAATTAACACAGTTCACGATGTCTGTTGGTATGAGTAGGTGTCCTTGATTTAAAAAACAAATGTAGTGTGAGGGAAAAGGAGAGAGTGAGAAAAAAGAGACAGCGTTAAAGAAAATAGGAAATAGAAGGGACCGTTATAAATGCAGACTACGATCCGTGAAGGATGAATGAAGGTAATCTGTACGTGTTTTTATTTCATACCAGAACCATCAGCGCCTCTCAGTGGTCAAACAGCCAAAATGCAGGAAAGAAATAACAGTTTTAAAAAGTACATTCAGTTCAAGCCCATTGGTCAGATAGCTCACTGGTTTTCTGCTGAATTTGCATAGAACCATTAACACTGATGTTGTTTTTCTGTGATACATATCTGATGTTTTCAGTGTCCACCAATGTCCAACAGGAAGTACATCAGAGAGTCAACTCAAAGGTACAAGGAAATGTTCTGTTTATATTTAAATCTAGGGGAACTCTTGCAACAATACTGTCTGACTTTGATACAGATACAGTTATTTTTAACACAACAAATAGTGCAAACATTCATTCTATAGAAATATGCAGAGGTCACATAAATTAGCATGATGTCAATCAGCAATGCTACATTGGATCTTTGGTAAGCCCTTGAATTAAAAAACAAGTCACTTGAAAACATATGTATCTCTCACATAGTGCACTATAGCTACATAAATACTAAATAAAGATCTGTATCATCACAAAGTTATTGTACATCAAAAAATATCATTTTGCTTTATTTTGTCAAAATGCCTAAAACAACACTCTAAAGTGACAAACATTCAAAACTACTTTCATTTCAACCTCACAACAGAAAAAACCCAGCGTGCCCTTAAACACGGGAAGATACAAAACAGCTTCACACAGAGAGATTTGTTTTGCAAAATGATGAAATTGCTTGAAATCATCCGTGATAAATACTTTATGTAAAACTGGATGTCAAAATATGCAATTGTGTTCCACTTAATAACCACAACATGACAACATCTTCCTAACCCTGATGTTTAAATGTTGGCATAACTGTCACGTATTTTCTTCACACCTCTACACCTGGTTGGTGTTGTACTGTGGGCTCGGATGCTGCTCCTGCATGCCTCCGGTAGCGGCCCCCACCACCGCCTGCTGCGCTGCCGCCTGGACGTGGGGGTTCTTCCAGGCCCCCGTGGTCCACTCCTCCTGAGCTTTGGACATGCTGCCCCCACTGCCACGGTAGAAGTTATGGATCTGAATGCGGGTTAGGGTTTCACAAGTTAATATCAACACAGGAGGTTAGTGATTTTAGTTATTTTAAAGGTCCCCTATGATACTGTTTCTCATCAATATATTATAGGTCTCAGATATATCAAAACATGTCTCTGAAGTGTTTGGCTCCAAACACCAAACACATCATTGCAGCATTACCCATAATCCCCTCTGTTTCAGGCCTGTTTCAAAAGTGCTGATTCTCTATCTGTTACTTTAGATGAAAATAAGGAGCCCCTCCCCACGCCCCTCTGAGAGAGATTTGGTTAGAAAGAACACAATGGTGCACTAGGAGGAGATTCAGGTGATAAGGTATGGGGGGGGGTTACCTTGGTGATTGGCTAATGACACAAGACAAAACATTGTTATGACATCATAAAGTGGCCAACATCTGATCAGCTCATTTTCAGACAGGTTTTTATATAAATGGATCAGGACAAAAAGTGAGAGAATCTTTGTTCCTGAAACGTTTAGAATCTCTTTCCACAGAGGGGACACATGTTGATGTAGAAGAGACAGGAAGAATAGGGGACACATGTTGATGTAGAAGAGACATGAAGAAGAGGGGACACATGTTGATGTAGAAGAGACAGGAAGAATAGGGGACACATGTTGATGTAGAAGAGACATGAAGAAGAGGGGACACATGTTGATGTAGAAGAGACATGGAGAAGAGGGGACACATGTTGATGTAGAAGAGACAGGAAGAATAGGGGACACATGTTGATGTAGAAGAGACATGAAGAATAGGGGACACATGTTGATGTAGAAGAGACAGGAAAAATAGGGGACACATGTTGATGTAGAAGAGACAGGAAGAATAGGGGACACATGTTGATGTAGAAGAGACATGAAGAAGAGGGTACACATGTTGATGTAGAAGAGACATGAAGAAGAGGGTACACATGTTGATGTAGAAGAGACATGAAGAAGAGGGGACACATGTTGATGTAGAAGAGACATGAAGAATAGGGGACACATGTTGATGTAGAAGAGACATGAAGAAGAGGGTACACATGTTGATGTAGAAGAGACATGAAGAAGAGGGGACACATGTTGATGTAGAAGAGACATGAAGAAGAGGGGACACATGTTGATGAAGAAGAGACATGAAGAATAGGGGACACATGTTGATGTAGAAGAGACATGAAGAAGAGGGGACACATGTTGATGTAGAAGAGACAGGAAAAAGTGGATTTTGCATAATAGGTGACCTTTAAGTTATTTTCTCAGAGTTTTTTTAAATCATGCAACTGTTTTTCCAGCTCAGTAAATCTCGTAAGGGAAACATTCTTACATACAGCAAATAATTATATTTCAAAATGTGGTTGATAATAACTTTGGTGGGTTTACAAATGTATTATCAACAAAGCTTCATGTGTGGACGCTTAATGGTTTTAGTTACCATAGTTCATGTTTTTATCTCAGGGGTTGTATAGAGATATGCAATTGTATTAACTACTCAGTGAATCTTTTTGTAAGGGGAATGTTTTTTTGGTACAGAAAATAATATGTAAACAATTGAAAAGTTGGATGATAATGACTTTTGAAAGTGGGTTTTAAAAGTTATCAACTTCATGTGAGGAAGATTAGTGGTTTTGGTTAGTTCATGTTATTATCTTTTTTTTTGCATCTGTATTTCCTACTGGGTCATTTTTTGGTACGGCAAATAATATATTGGAATAAAAAACTGTGGTAATGATAACTTTGAAAGTGGGTTTCAAAATGTATTAATAACACGGCTTCATGGGTGGAAGATTAGCTGTTTAGATTATTTTAGTTTATTACCTCATGTGCATTAGAGTAATGAAACTGTATTTCCTAAAATCTTTTTCCCGCAGTACATTAAGGGAAACATGATTTGGTCCAGCAAATGATATATTGGGATTCTGGCATTTATAATTGTAAACCTTAACAATGCTGACTGATATATTAATCAAACTTAATTCATGCACTAACAAGTGAAGCTCAGCGCAAGTTCAACCAGGAAGACCGTCTTTACTCTTCATGTATTTATATTCCCATGTTACTACTCTCTCTCCTCTCAATAAGTGACACTCTTCAGCTTAACCAATCACTTCGCTCTATTCCCAAGAGCCTATCATAACACTCTGTCAAACTTTTAAATCTGCTCTTCCCCCTTTGACAGCTGTCATTTCAGGTGACTCGACGCAACCCTCCTCCACCCCTTTTCACCTCCTGTCCCTCTGAATCCAGGGTCTAGCTAAACCACTCCTCTCCAGACCGACCCAACTATCCATTCACCACCACCAGTGTCTAGACCCCAGGGGGGTTTCATCGGATCGGCTCTACCCTCCTGAATGATACTTCCTGCACAACGGGGCCTAATCGCCAAAATTACCATTACATTAATTTGTGCATCTGCGCAATAAATATGTATTATTACATCAAAACAGTCTCTCCTGATTGAACATCATTTACAAATATTTTCTAACAATATTGGTAACTTCTGGCCGAAAAAATGTATATATAGCGAATTGGCAGAAAAGGACGGCAAATGTACTCTTATAAATTGCCGGTCTAAATTTCGCTTTGCAGGAATGCACAATTTGAATCCTTACCCTGGTGAGGGCAATGAAGGACAGTGAGGCGACTGCAGTGAACATGATGGTGGGGACCAACATGACCAGAGCAATCAGAATATTATAGGAGAAGAAGGAGATGGTAGCCAACCAACCGCTGAAAACGAGAGAGATGACCATTAACAGAATTTCATTAAAAAGACACATTTTCTTTATGAATACAACAAGGCATGATTATATGTTATTGGTTTGTCTGGTGTCTCTCATCATGACACCACCGCTGAACATCTGGATGTTAAATGCCACTAATTTGTGTGGACTTTAACTACTGCCATATAAAGTTTCAAAGTGTTATAGCTCATACGAGAGAATACCTAACTGCACATGGTGACATTTATAAACTTTATGGAGGCTGTCATAATATTAATTTCTGATCATCATGAGTGAGGTGACATTTTGTGGATCCTTTTAACGGCCTCTCAAAATTTGATAACAGGACTCTCGTTAAAGTTATATGAGGGCCATCTCTGATGTCCCATCAGTGTCATCTTAATGAAAGCGGCGAACAAAGTATTTAAAAGAAAGACTAACTGCTTAAGCTCAGAGTGTGTCCTTCAAAAGTAGATTTTCTAATGATATTAAAACAACCTCTCATTCCTTTTGTTCATTCATGCATAACAGTGAATGAATCACAGCTCTGGTAATTGAGTTGCATTACACAGTTTTATTAATTGTAATGACTTATTTGAGAATATATTTGATCTTACTCGCTACATGTTAATTTTAAAAAACGAGACTCAACATAAAAAAAAATAATTTGAAAGAAAGATTGATAATGGTAGTCATGTAACCCTCCTATTGTCTTCATTCCCCCCCCCTGCTATTACATTAACACAATAACCATTAATCATCACCAAATTTAATTTAACACCCTTTCAAACTGTAATTATTGTATCTACTGGTATACATGAACAACTGCAGTAAATATACAACGAATAGACACTGAACATGTATTGCGTGTGCCAGGTGTGATCCATGTGGGAGGATGGGGACATAAGAGCGGGAAATGTGTCAAATTGTTCTGTGTGTGTGTGTGTGTGTGTGTGTGTGTGTGTGTGTGTGTGTGTGTGTGTGTGTGTGTGTGTGTGTGTGTGTTTTATCAGATCTGGATGGTTACTAATTCCTTTTCTTTATGGCGGTAATTTTTGACCAGGAACACCATGGGTGTTACAAAGTTGACTAAATCATCCAAAATGCAATGAAAGTGGTGATCAGCAATTGTATACGTTCAAATGTCTACTGTGAAGGATTTCATAAAGCCTTAATGCAATCGAATGTCAAATAAAAAAGTTATAATTGATGAAAGTAGTACATCGGTCAGATTTGACCCGAAGACAACTGGAGGGTTAAACAAAATATATTCTTTAAAATATTCTTATAATGTCTCTTACCATACTCCCCATCCAGGGATGCCGATGCTTTGGATGATGCTGATGCCCACTTGGGCCATGAAAACAAAAAAGAACTGCATGTAGTTGAAGGAGCTGTCAGTCCTAAGAAAAAAAAACAGAATGATCAAGAAATATTTGCACCAGTATACAAAAATGAATCACTGCTACATCTTATCTCGTGTGATAGTTTGATGACACCCAAGCCCACAGTGTGATAAATGCCACTCAGCACCACAAAGGCCTCCTCCTCCATTATGGAGCCACAGGTTATCTTGTATTTGTATGTGCTGATCGTGTTAAGGTCTTTTCACAGGAAGTCATGATTTATCTATTCTACTCTATAATCATGGTATTCTACCACATCTGCATTTCTTTAGTGATGACACAGCCATGGAAAGACTTTTGCTGGACTGCGGTCTTCTTGCCCTGCCTTGGCATTCTCACAGTCTGGTTTAATCTTCACCAAAGTGCAAGGTAAGACCCACATTTTGTATCAGGACTTCATTAACTTCACTAGACAGAGCATTGTCTGTCCCTGGCTCAGAAGGTACAGTTATGTCACGCTGCCCTTCAGTGCACGGAGAGAGAAGATGTTCCGGGTGCACTTCTGTCTTTAGAGAATGATTGGATCATTTATTTCTTTTTAACACTTTCAGAGAATGGAGTAAAGAATTATCTTAAAGCTTCCATCCATAATGGACCATTACACAATATGATCGTACATTATGCAGCCACAATGACTTTGCAAAAATTCAGAGAAACATTTGTTTTATTAGGATTTTTTTTTCTTACATGGCAAAGATGGAAATATTGGTAGTAGTGCTTTGATCTAACATATTTAATGTTTTAAGCAACCGAAAAAGTGAAGTAGGAAACATAGACCATATTAAAGGGCTCCAGCAATATTCATAGAAATACTAAGCAGGAATAATCTACCATCTACAAAATGTCACTTGGTCTATATTATATTGTCAATGATAAATTAAAACACACAACAGCCGAATTGTATTTGATGCCTAAATACCTTCTATTGCAATTTTACACAATAGTCCAACATTACTATGGTTTGTGTGTTATTTATTAAGTACTGTGTGTTGCTTTGTTCTTTAAACAACTGTGCCCGTAAATAACAGCTACACGAAACACGCCTGTATAACAAGATACAGCTGAGACTAAACTATATATTTTAATATCAGTACTTCCTTTTTGACTTACTTGAAGGCCTTGTAGATGGGCCTGAACCAGCAGACATAGGAGCAGGGGGTGAACATGATGAGCCAGATGATAGCCAGCCCAAAGTTGGTCACGCCACCTCCACCAAACATCCATGCGAAGCAGCCAAGGAGATTCACCGCAAGAGTAAGACTGTTCACTGTGAGACCAAACAGAATGTGTATTAGGTGCAACAAAAACACATCTATTGAGTACACGGACATGCAGGAAAGAGTTTGATGTGAGGGTATGAAGGCAGCCTGCATTAACTGTGAAATATGTAATTGCGATGCTTGCCACAAAATGGCTCGTGTTCCCTGAATAGCCTTTTTGCAGGCGCCTTTTTTCTATTAATTCTCAGTAATGTTATGAGACAGTACTCCAGCGCTTAAGTTGCACTTAAATCTAATTAAAGCTATGTGCTTTGGTCCCATATTTCTTATTTAAACCAGCAAATAAGGCCAATCGGCTTCAAATGTTGGTCTATGGAGAAAAGAGGGTGCTTAACAAGAGAGTGAGGAGGCCAAACACAGCTGCAACATGACAGCTATTTAGGAGCTTAGTTCAGTTTCTCAAATTTATAACAGAAAAAATATGGTTGGCTTCAAATCATTTAGACACAAGAAAGAAAATGCTCAGAATGAAGAAAGGAAAAAGCTCATGCTGAACAACACTCAAATATGCCATGCTTACAGAGAATGTGCCACAGATAGAAAGAGAGTGAAAGAAAATCCAAAAGCAGATTGGGAGTTTGAATACCTGCTTATATTTATCGTTTACCAACCTGTAGAATGAACAGAGTAAAGTCTAAATGAGATGGATCATACAGATATATTGAAACACACTTGTCTCTGTTTGCCTAGAATCATTTGCAACCTTCATGGACACCCCAGGTTTATTTTGTTTTCATTATCTTCATGTTACTCTACTGTATATTGCCTTTCCGCCAGCGACATTGCACCGGTGTAAAAGTTGCAGCAGCTTTAAATTATTTGACTCTCGCTGCACTCTGCCTTCATGGACCAACAGGGAGCATCCCGACCAGAGCAATATCACAAACATCATTGTGCGGCTTGTTTATGGTGTAATAAACTTTGATGAAAGTGCTTGTGGCAAAAATTGTTTAACACAATTTCAATGTTAACTGCTCTACTCAAACCAAGGCCATCTGGTCAGCGCCATGACTCATTAGCAAATAAACCAGTCAGGATAACACAGCCTTCGGCAATAAATAAAAAAGATATTTGGACCAAAGGGACCCTTGTAAACCATTGCCCTTCTGTTACAAAGTTCTTATCATGACACTGAGTTAACCACAGAGGAAAGGACAGTTTATTGCACCTAGTGGATACAACTGGCTTTTTATATTGGAGAGTCAGGTAGCCTCTGAAGAAAAAAGTTGTTTTAATGCATTATAGTTCAAATGTAAGCTTCTGTTGCCTGGGTAATGTATCAGGAAATCCCACACCAGTATTTAAACACTACGACATCGCTGTAAGCCACTCACACATCCACAGGTGGTACATTTTCTTGCACAGGCTGCGGTGCTGCTCAGGGATCTCATCAAAGTCCTGGTAGAAGCATGGCTTGAGTGGAATAAACCCCGGCAGTGGGGGGAAGTTGGGCTCTGTCACAAATAATTGCACAAGGGTTAGACATAAAGTATTCGCTCAATTATTTCCCAGTAGATCATTGCGTATAATAACTGACCTGCCATGTGGATAACGTGTGGAGTTCTTTAGAGTCACTCTTTTTCAGTCCTGTCAAAGCCTGTTAAATAGAGAGAAACTGGAGATTAGGATTTAGTTATTTCTGTGTATATCTGCAGAACTTGTATGCCCCATAGAAAAATAATTTCATATGCATGTCATAGGTGTTGGACCATTCAACTTTTACTAGAAATAGCCTACACCCATGTTATATGGACAAAGATAGAGGGTGCTGTTAGTTTAGCGTCGCCATACAGACCGGGGGATTTAATGTGTGAGCCCTCCAGAAAACGTCTCCCTAGTGGTGATACGATTTTAACAACAGAATTCTTCCGGTTTCACTGAAACACACGCACACACCATGGGACACACACGCTTGTTGCTATCACGCGTAAACTACACTCCTCTGGTTGAAATGAGGCGACAGTATTCGCTGTATATGTTCGTTGTATATTTTGACAGAGAGCTGGCCATCATAGGAAGGAATTACGGATTCCACGAGAAACGTAATCTGCTTACCTCCTCGAGAGAGCAGAGTTTCTCTCCTCAAAGTGCGCAGTCTCCAATAAAAGCTTCAGCCGCGTGGTGAATAGAGCTCTACTGCCAGTCGGAGGATATCTGCAAGCAAACTATAACGCTGAAATAATACTTTCTTCTGCACAGTATGAACGGAGCAATAAACATGCTGTGTGCTGACTCTCGACCAATCACCGTGCGTGAATCGGCTGTCACTTTGATTCAGACCAATAGGCGGATTACTCTAATCCTGGATGTTGTTTGTTTACCCAATCACTGTTTCGCTCTCTGTCCATGGTGCTGAACCCGTCCCACGGTTGGTAGTAAACAATGTGGAGATAAAGTGCAAACTACCAACCCCATTGCACCTCGGTGAAGTTAGTTTAAGGGCGGATACTCCTCATTCATTTGTTTACTCAGTTTCACACCGAACTGTCACCTAACGTCGCTCTTAACGACCGGGTCTCACTTTGGGACCGTAAAAGAAAAAAGACCATTTCATTGACACTAAATACTATTATAAATACATCTTTGCTAATGTGCTCAATCGTAGAAAGATATTCCAATAAAAAAAATAGCAGTTATTGGATTTTAAAACACTTAAGCTTCCATAACTTGTGACTCTCCAAATCAATGCACCATTGTTTTACTCCACTGGAAGAGTAGGACACACCAAGTAGGACACAACAAGTATCCTATTAATCCAGTCATTCAACATTATGCATTGATTTGGAGATATTAGGTCATATAATATGGAAGACATTTACGTTTCTAGTTTTACAATGATGCATTAGTTTTTAGTCATTAAGTCACATGGCATTAAGGTTGTTTAAAATACATTTTCATTCAAGAAACTGATAAATGCAATAAACATATTCGTACAAAATAAACACTTTGCATTTACAGTTAATCTGGAGTTTGGTGTCAAACATCACATCAAATATCATATATATAATCGATGTAATCAATGAATAGACTAGACGTAAAACACTTTGCAAAGTTATACCACCCCCAACATGGTACAGGGACATCATTATTTTAAATACCCAAGCCACCGACCATAACCTGAACATATTACTTGAGTTTGTGCTGACCGAAATACTACATTTTTGGTCTATCAAGTAAGTAAGTAATACATTTTTCTGATTACTATGAACTAGTTGTGCTGTGCCGGTAAAACTAAACTGACCTGTTGCATGAATATAATATTATAAATAAGGATAATTATTAGTATTATTATGAGTAGCAAAAGTAGTAGTAGCAGTAGAAGTAGTATTATATATTTATATATGGAAAATAAAAATAATTGGAAAAAAGTGTTTATGTTCTACGACCGTGTTGTGAAAATTGTAGCAAGATGATTAGTCATTGATTTTTACTTACCACACAAGTGAGCAGGGGAGGCATTCAGGTGTTGACTAATACTGGAGATTACTCCTTGAATGATGGAATTACTCATAAATGAACGAATGAATTTGTAAAACGTGTGTGATTGCTGTCAGTATATACCTGTTGCAGGTTTGCAAAGCCCAATGTTATCCTAGGTATTGTCTGCCAATCACATTTAGTTTTTCTAACAAAATATTGCTTCTTTATTAAATGTACGGCTTTTAATTATAGGCTCAATGTTTGTATACAGATCGTCTAATCAGGGCTGTCACTTCAATTCACATACACCTGATTCAGCAGTATGTGCTAAGTATGATCCTTATCATAATGTGATCAGAGTCTGCAGGAAGTGAAGAGTCTTTCTTAAATCAATCGCTATCACGCATCAAATCAAGGCCACTGGATATGACAAGCTAGTGAAGCTGGCCCTTACCTCAAACTGTCACTTCAGCCAGCCTCTCATATTTTCTCTCCTCTCTCCATTCATATTTATTAGGCAGAGTTTCAGTCTAGACAGGCTAACAGCTTATTCTTGACAGCTTATTCTATGCAGGCCACCATGGCATATACAGAAATCTACAGATGAGTTGGCTATAAGTGGTCTCTCTTTCTGGCATCTTTGTTTGTCTTTCTGCACTCGTTCTCTCATTCTGCCTCTCATCTCTACACCAAACAAAGCCGCCATTATCAGGACCATTGAGACGAGCTCCTTTCCTCAATGCCTTGCAATTTCCAGCTGATATTCAGATCTACTTTTTGAGCTAATTAGGACAAGGGCTGCTTCTTTCAGAGAGTGATGGTCCTACTCTGTATTTACAGAGCCCACTGTCTCCCTCCCTCTTCAGCTCACAAACAGTGCTTCAATCTGCATAGATTAGAATGGGAAAATCAGATTTCCCCCATGAGCTTTCCCAACCCGCTATTGATGCAACACAATGGATCTGTTCTGAGTCCCCTTTGCTGCGTGCTTAGTCACCATCCTGTATGGGATGTAGACAGAAGGCAGGATATTAAGTGTCTGGTGAGACAGAGAGAGAATGAGAGGCATGAGAGGAAGAAATAAAGAAGACAAAGAATAGAAAACAGGAAATGAAGTGTGGGGACGGGCCTGACATGTTAGCATCAACGTTTATTCAACATTACAGCCAGATACAGTATGTTATTTACTCGGGGGGCATTATACTTCGTTGGATCAGTGAAAATTCATGTTCTGTTTACTGTCTTTGCAATAAACCCTAGGGCCTAGAATAATACATACATCACTAAATATTTCACGTATTTAAACTGGTTTTAAAGTATATTTATCTGTTAAAGATATGTGGTTATTATCCAGATTTGACAAAACTTTTTCGAAAAACATTTTGTCGGTTTAATTTAGAGTTGCTACACACACACACACACACACACACACACACACACACACACACACACACACACACACACACACACACACACACACACACACACACACACACACACACACACACACACACACACACACACACACACACACACATTAGTCTACTTGTTTTGTATTGAATACAAATATTTATCTCAATTATTGGATGTGTAAATGCATTTAAAATGAGATAAAATAAGAGTCCTTTGTTCGACACTCAATGTCTCTGCTTGATGCTCTCACTGTCGGCCCAGCGCCAGTGCGCCCTACTGCCATTGTCCTCCTGAAGAAAAAACATTTGCCCACTCGCACTCTGAGCCTATGTGCACCGTTGTCTTGGTTTCTATGGAGACCCTTTCCTGCAGACCAAGCATGTGGGGGGCACCCCTCCAGTGGAAGAAGGTGAAATAACATTTTGGCAAGGCAATCATACACAAACCTCATTTACATATCCAAACATGCACCATGGACCGTAGCATACAGTGTTTGTTCACCAAACATTTCCCAGTACTTGATTTCTCCCAGCTGGAAATCGCACCCACAAAGTGTTATCTACATAAAAGTTTATTTCGCTTTTAAATTGTCAGAATAAAGGCAATCTAAAGAAAAAGTATTAAAGAAATCTACATTAACATACAATTCCCCTCAATTCAAATTCAAATTAACTTATTTAGCATAAAAGCTTTAACAATTTGCTGGCAAAGCTTCAAAATACAAGTGTACACAGAAACACTTTTTGTATTTCCCCAATGATGTATATATTCCATTGTGCACTGGGATTGATCAGCATTCAGGTCACAAGTTGCTCCCTGTACCATTGACATGAATGATGTATGCTGGTGCGTGGACCTTCTGTGGTAATTCCTCAACACCTCCAGCAGGGGGCACTGTTATATCTGTCTGTCAGTCTGTGGTGTTTCCTTGCATTTTGAGGAGACACTTTGCTGTCAGATTGAGCTGTGTGTTTCTGACCTTGAGGAAGATGAAAGACAGCCACCACAGAGGCTAATGTACTCAGTATTCAAATGTACAAGTCTCTCAGAGTCAAGCATGTCACACTCATGGCATAAAGACAAAGACACAAACCAGAGGGGGAGAGGAAAAGCTGACATATTACTTCTATTATTTCTTATTCTAGCCAAGTTCTCACTGCTTTCATTTCATACCACTTCCTTAAAAAGCTGCACTTGGGATTTGGTCATTACTATACTTTTTTTTAAATCACAAGCTATTTGATTACAACTCTCTTACGTTTAATTGAACAGAATAACAGAACATTATTGTTTTCTCAGTCCTTCGAACACTTGCAATTGGAAGGTTCATGGATTAATACGCCAAATATTAATAAAAAAGAAAACAGAATTTCAGCTAAGCACAATAACATATTTCACTGAGCCATAATTAGAGCAGTGACTGACTGCCACACACCCACAATGATTTCTCTATCATCCAGCACTTAACCTCAAAACGGAAGCCCCCCCCCCGCTGTTAGGATGACAGTATTGAAAGTGAGCGTTTTAATCAGTGAGATGTTCCTTTCAGCTCTATGACATGCTAGGAAATTAAACATAAGGCATAAAGACTACATTTACATGTTTTTCTAATAATTCTGCATCACCCCTTAATAAATACATAACATGCTTACAAGTTATGGTACATTATATTTATCAATTTTGCCTTTGAACAACATTTTATAATCCTTGCACCACAGGTTGGCTAATGGACCTCATAATCAATATCATTTTTTGTACATGATCCCTTTGGGTTAAATACACTCGTCTGATCTAATGGCACTTTCATGTATGTTTCACTTAGCACACAGTATGTGCTCTTCAGGAGTGGTGGTTATGATCAATAAGTGTGTTATCATCATTAGACAGCCCTCTTAATGTGTTATTGGTGTGAAAGATACCAGCACAGATTTGAACTACAGTTGATAAAAGAATATAACATACTCTGTGTTTGGAATGACAAAATCAAATCAAAAATAAATAATTGTATGTCTTTTAAAAAAGCAAGTGAGTTTTTACATCCAGTTCGTATATCAAGCTGGTAATGGTTACATTGACAAAACAGCATGCACCCAGCAGAAGCTGAAATCTCCACGCTGACAATGTCAGAATAAGAGCCTCATCTGGAGCAGTGACATCAGGCACAAGCTACACTTTGGGATAGTCACAGGGTGCACCATCTCAAGTAACACCACAGAGTTGATTGCAGGTGGATACTTCAGGGACTGGAAAAGCTGATGGAGTGGATCCTGGTGAATTTCAAACCAGCCATGTCAGGAAAGCTGGTGCTGAAGAGAGAACCGGTGAACGACACCTTTTTAGCATTCAATCACAGAAGAAGCAGCTGAAGAGCCATGACAAGGTGTTTGACACAACCATGAAGGATGCATGAACCCTCCCATCCACCTCCATTGACTTGGAGAGTTGGCTGAGAGCAGAGGACCAACATGTCGTTGTTCGGCCCAGAATACTGTGACCAGTCATTGTGTGCCAGTCGCTACAGTCGACAGAGAGAGAAAGGTTCTTACAACAGAAGATAACACTCTATGAGCATAACAAGCTGGGAATGCCACTTGCCACAAAGTGACCTTCAAGGTGACACAAATTAGGGAGGTGTTGCACTACATAGAGTGATTAACTTGACTGTGGCCAAAGCTGTAATCAAAATGAAGACTTGGATGAATGGTGGGATTGGCTTAGCTGTTGAAAGCTGATCCCCAACGCATCAAGTTCCATGTCCAGAAAGGGTCCAACATGCTTGGGAGTTTCTTAATTCTCCACACATGAGGCAAAGCTTAGACACCGGCATGCCTGCTGTGCCTGAAACGTTGAACCCTATAGAGGCCTTTCCTGAGTTGCGCCCCCAAGGCCCTAAAAGAGTGGTGAGAGGTGATACTGTTGGTGAAGGTCCTAAAAGTAACTTCAGAAACCATCTGCATCAGCCTGCAGGAATATTGGCCCCTGCAAGAGACCTCGGCTCAAGTTCCCTCAGCATATCACAGTCAACACCTCGAAAACTGAAATCAGTGTTCAATCCTCTAGGCAAGTCATCATGCTGTACTTTCAGCAAACAGTCTCCTGGGAGGGTTGCTTGGATGATGGCTTTGATAGAAAGCTGATCAAATTCAATACTGCACTGATTGATTAATAAAGGCAAGGTGGCTTAAGGTGCTTCAAGATTTGAGCTTGATGCAACATGATACAGCAAAGAATAGCCATGTCAAATTGGCCTCAATGGTCTTTACAATCTGTACAGCTACAACACCCTCTGTCCTTAGACCCTCTTTTCGACCCGTGACATCACATGTGTGGCTCAAGAGAGTAGATCCGTGGGGAAAGAAGTAGCCATATGGACACAGGCTGAGGTCTGATCAACCTCAGTTAGGTTGCCAGGAGGAAGTCATGTTATGTTGAAAGATCTGTAATCTCCATTGGTGGCAGATTGCACATCTTCATTTGATTCAAACATTCTCTTGATAAATCTCATCTTATGCAGAATTTTTTTTATTAAGTGTTTTATCTCACTGAAAATACAACACTTACTCAGATGGTCATTTTCTGAAACCGAGTTGCTCAGCTCTTCGCCAACCAATTACAATATTTTTTGTCGTATGAAAATCTAATTTGCTTTCAAAGAAAAACAGCAACACCAATCTACTGCTCAATGCTAAGAGAAACTACTAAAACCTCTTGCTGTTTGAAGCCAGACAAGTTTACTATCCTAATTGGTCTCTGTGGGCAGAGCATCAGTTGTGTAAATAATTTTCTCAGCTCTTGGCCTGCTCCATATTTGGCTATCGTGGCTTCCCTTCTTTGTCAAATAAAAGCAGTGCCTGTTGGAACGAAGTCATGTAATTCCTAGAGCACATTGTTTTTATCTTGTAGCTACAAACCAGCTTCAAATGAGAGGCTGCTGTTCAATCACAGTGCAACCAATCTTATCACCATAGACCCAGCTATATCTATTGGGGGTAACGAATTGCAGATGGGGTTTCAACTGTTGCTGCAGCATGTTCTGTGGGATTGTGGTTTACGGGAATCGGGTTACTCATAATTAAGAACATAGCTCGGAACAGGTCGTACCCTCCACCGGGTCAGCTTCTGGGGTTCTGACGGGACTCAAGTCATTTAACTTCTGTTTTATGGACTGCTGGCACTAGATTACAAACTTAGCTTAACATTGTAGTCATGTGTCACACACACACACACACACACACACACACACACACACACACACACACACACACACACACACACACACACACACACACACACACACACACACACACACAGAGAGATACAACGTTTGATGGATAGAGGCTCACAGCCAAAACTCCATCAAATAGTGTCAACTTTTTATATCCAAACTGAACTAAAGCTATTTCTCATAGATGGTTTGTGCTTTCAGATCATAGCACTTTTGTCGAGTGATTTGCGAGCAGCTGGTATAGTTGTGTTCATTATTTTATGGGTGCTGGCAAGGGGAAAAAAGGAGAAGCAGGGAAATTACAGCTTGACCACAATCACAGAGGACACAGAAATGCTATTAGTTTTCCAATGCAATCACAAAATCCACTGGCCTGGACATTTGCTTTAATCAGACACCTGGGAAATGCATCCATCTCATTTCATTTAATCGGCTCAAATCAATCTCATATCAGCATTAAATGAAAATGATGAGAAGAGAAATCTGTGTGGACAAGATATTAATACCAAAGGGAACTCCTTCATTACTGACTTTAATGATTGCCTGTCTTTCTTCTCTATGGTGCAGACAATATATATAGCTTTTTACTCCTACATGCTATAAACCCAGATTGAAAAACAAAAAAGGAGGCTGTAATTTAAAGCACACAATTTTCACTGGAGTTGAATGCTTCAAAACTACTCTATAATAGACATCCTTTCATTCCGAAGAGGCAATTTATGAGAAGATGTTGCATCAAAAGGTATACATCGCTCTTTGGAACTTCAAAGAACAATGATTTGTTCATTAAAGCGTTACAAGTAGCAGCTTTGATACACACATAGACTGCTGTATAGCCATATATATTAAAGCTTGTGGGGTTTTTCTCTCATGCTGTATGCTTGTGTGCTGTTGAATGTGGGGATGCTGCTGGTATCAGTGATGCTGAGAGTGCTGCACGAGGCGAGTCTTTGTCTGCTCTGGGAAGGCTGGGCTCCAGCTGGCTCCCGCTATGTGCAAAAGTCAGTGGGTCCCTCAGCACTCACAGGAGGCGGGCTGGTTGATTGATTGGGATGCACACCACCACCACGACCACCCCCCCCCACCCCTCATTTCCACCACCACCTCCTCCTCCCTCACCTCCTCCTGCCTGTGCACATGTGCCTTTCATACTCTCCATTTTTACCCAGACCTGCTTTATTACACAGAAGCATTCATGCAGTAATGCTTACAATGCAAAACCCCATGTTTTTAAAAGGTGCATGCTCACACACTTAGGTACACATTTAGGAAAACAAACAATATCTTTATTACATGATTTAAATGATTTAGTGTAGATGCTGCGTTATTAGAACACGTTTTCACCGGAACATGTGCATCTGGATGTGAGAGTGCTCATTAAAATGACCATGTGGGCAACATTGGGTTCATTCAGGGAAACACATTTGCTGTCCTTACAGATGACTGTTTTTGCCAGACCATTCTCCACACTTCGCTTTGCTCTAGCAGAGATCCCTAACGAATGCATCATTCCAGACACAGAGAGAGGGCGCCTGGGGTAAAATATATTTTTGACAGATTTGGTATTGCAAGTATTTCTACAACCTATTCGCTCTGAATGAATCTCCCAGGTGTTGGTGGGAAGCATGGAGTTGAACACAAAAAGGAGGAAGAAGGGGTGTGTTAGAATCACCGACAGCTTTTCAGGACTCCAGCGACGACCAGCCACAGCCAGCCAGCCAGCCAGTGTCTGGTGAACGTGCGTGTGCGCGTACATGTGTGTGTGGACCAGCAGCTAACACACACTTAACATTCGTTCGCAACATGGCGTTGAAGCGCCGAGAGACACGACGGCTCTCCCCCGACTTAATGCAAGCTAATTGTTGTTAAAGCCAGTGGACTGCTCACCAAAGAAACCTAAACATTCACAGAGAGTCCTTTACGCACCGCCGGAGACAAAAGCGGATTCCAACATATGCATGTCGCTCTAACGGTATAGCTGGTTGTATAGACGTATTGCTACCCCACTGGAGGAAATCAAAGGCTGTACATGGCGGTGGAGAGTACAATTTGGCTGTTCTGTCTTCTTTCGCTGTTCTGTGGTCCATCCAAGCAAGGTAAAGCGCTCACTTTACTCATCTGCATGTTTTTCAGTGGAGTGCATGTGTGAGGCAGCGGGCCACTCACATTACACTGAAGTGCAGTTACTCAGAACACAAGTGGGCTGTGATCAAAGATAGGGGAGAGCTACTTGGGTGCACCTTGCACGGTATACGAGCAGTATCCCCTCCGTGTTCGGTGGTGTTCACCTCACGTGGCCCCTCCGGTTCGTTCGAGGTAGGGTTGTATTGTTCCACTACGGGTGTCTCTGTCAGGACCGGCGGTGAAGCTTTGGTGTTTTGAAGTTGCAGCCCGAGGAGCGGTGCCACTGAGCGGCCAGGGGGCTTTGAACCGACCGGGGAAGTTTCTGATAAAACATAGGATGGGGCTCATTATGGAGATATGTGGGCTCGGATTTGGTGTTTAATGAGTGTGGAGCCCCCTGGAAGCAGCTCTGTCTTAAATGTGCCGATTGCTTTGTCAGTAAAAAAAAACAACAACTTAAGTTTTCTTTCTTTTTCTCACGGTTTGCGCATGGGACGACTGGTTTTCAGCCACTGGCTGAGCAAGTTCAGTGAGAGGATGTTGAAAGCGTAGGCCAATAGCATCAAAAGGACTTCGTGTGCTTTTGATACACTTGAAGTAGAATGCGAGCTGATGTTTGGTTCCCCAGGCATTGCGGCGATGGCTCCCGAGAGTGGAAGCGTGCTGGTTGGAGAGGAAAGTCTGCTACACAGGCGGCGACGAGTGGGTGAAAGACTGACTGCAGGATTTACATGACAAAGACCTGTGCAGAGTATCAGTGGAGGCTATTCAGCTGAAAGCTTTTCAGGGTCAGGAAAAGAAGATATACGTGAACCTGCCATGCGTTCCTTTTTAGGTAAAACTGTTTACCATCAAGAATGCACACACAGATGTTTGGTACATCTTTCATGACTGTATGCTATTAGGCCACTAAAACAAGAATGAACAACATAGTCTAATTGATATTTCACCCACATTATCTAGCTGAATAACGTTTGAATGACTAAGCATGTTAAGAGGTTTGTGTTTATCTGTCAAGTGCCTGAGGACCAGACAAGTGGGACTGTGAGTTTGTCTGCTGTGTGTGAAGAGAGGGAGACAGAAAGAGAGAGATGGCATTAAAGAAGACATTACAAAACTGTGAGGTGAACCTTTTTTATTATTACCTCAATCTCCAACATGTGGCATTCATATTCATGATGGGCAAATAGGATTACACAACTCTGGAACATAAATCTAATTTATATATTTGTCTCAAAACATATAAAATGCAAGTCCCCTTTAGGGAAAGGCAGAAATTGCTGCTTTTATTCCTCATGTATTAAAGTGATTGTTTTAAGTTTGCACTGATTGTGTTATGAAATCATGAATTAATTGAGGCTACTTTAGTTTCTGACATTGTATGGGGCATTAATTAAGATCAGCAGATTATTCAATGAAGACATCAATGTTAGTTCCAGGCCTATTTAAATTGCCATCCAATTATTGTGGAGCCCCAAAGAAAGTTAGTCTATTTAGATTTGTACTTAAAATGTGAACATGTCCTGATGTGAGAAGAATCACACCATTACTTAGTTCTGATGTATACAATCATCTCTTTACGTATATTATTGCTGACGTCTTGAAATGGTTGATTGCCCACACGAATACCGCACAAGCTATTACTTTCCTTTAGTCTTATCTTACATCAACACTTGTCCAATTTTAGTACATCTCCTGGCAAAAATGTCTGCTTAAAGATTTACACTGTCTTATCGCAATGTTGTTTATGTGTGTTGTCTCGGATTTTATTACAAATAGATGAGAGAATGTTGCTTACTGTCGCCTTTTGTCTCACCCATTTTCCACTGGTGTTGTGTATACTCTATAGCTGCATTATTAAAGTGTTTTCATTGAGTGTTTTATCCTTCTCTGGGGTCTGGAGGTTGCTTGCACATCGTTTTGCGACTGCTGCAACTCCATTATGACATGCTGTAATTCAACACAGTGATGAGAGGGTGTTGTTGAAAAGCCAAATGTTTTGGAATGAATACTTCAAAAACTCGGAAGTACTTTAACACATCTATGTAGAAATCATCTCCCTCTGAGCTATACTGTAATTGTATCACAAGTCCCATCATTCATTTTTTCAATTATGCATATAGAGACCTTAAAAGGGAGGCAACTAGAAGTATGCCTCCTTGACTTCCATCTGATATAATGGTAGAAGGTTATAGGATAAAATTGATATAGTTAGATTACCATGCACCGCAGACTCCTGCACAGTCAGAGTAAGGAATGACTCCCCTTGAGATCCTCCTGACAGGAGAGTGAGTGCCACACTGGGGGCGATCACATCTAGATGATGAAATCTCTTGCAGGTAAATGGCGATTGTGATGGAGGTTGTCTGTGATAAGAGTGAAGTGGAAATTGATTTATTTGCACTGAGAGATTTATCATTGGAAGTTGGTACCAAACAACTTTGACGTTTGGTTGCTGTCTAAAAAAATCTATGAAATACTGAGGTCTTGGAGATGTTATTTACACATCACATTTTGAATTCGACAAAAATGAACATTTGTTTTAATATTAAGGTCATCTAAACTACTTTGCTTCAGAGAAGAAGAAACCACCTTTGAATCTCTCTGCAAACACATGACAGCAGCATCATGAATGCATTATTATTACAAAAATGATTATTTTGCATTACTATTATTCCCTTAGCAGTGTTTCCCCTAGGATGGAGTCACAGCAGCGGTGCTAAGGCACGCAGGCCCAGCTAAATGTGAGCGCGTGGAATATTTTTGTGTGTGCGCGTGCGAAGTGCGCCTCGCCAACATGTTTCTATGTGTCTGCCAGCACAAGAAAGGCTCTTGAGGCTCTACAGGTGTATTTTGCTAAATCACCTTTATTGAACATACACAAATACTACACATCCACATAACAAACAATCAAAATAAAATGTATGCAATTTCATTATTTTAACCTGCTTTATTTGGGGGTGGACCTCACATCCTCTAGGGGGGTCCAGGGGCATGCTCCCCCGGGAAGATTTTTTTTAAATGTTGAAGTTAAATGCATCAATCTGGTGCACTTTGAGCACAAGATGAATTTATAGATACAGCTCTCAACACTCAGATGAAAGATAGCTGTATACTTTTCAATAATCCAAACATCTTTAGAATATGATCTCAACCAATAACAAATCATTTAAACTAGTTTATTCCTATCTTATGTTACCTAGTTAGTATTCTTTATTTTTCTTTTTGCATATTTTACTAATCACTCCCCTTTTAAACTGTTTTTTCTTTTACTGCCCTATAGTACACATTGGAATGATTTCTTACTTTATTTTGTACAACTATATTAAATAGTTAAAGGTGTGCTCTCTCTCGCTCTCTCTCTGTCTCGCTCGCTCACAGAGGCTGTGTGGCCACGGATTATTATTTGAATGTATTAAAAGTTTTAAAACAAAATAATTATATATATTTATTTTTTGGTACCTTTTTTTGTTGGTACCTGGCTGGTCCCCCGTAGCAGCGGCGCGCAATACATTGAATGTATATAGGGGAAACACTGCCCTTAGGCTGACACAGTGTGTGCATGTTTCTCTCTGTGTTTATTTTGCTGGGTTTAGAAAGTGGAGCATGAATGTTTTGTGTGTCGGTGGTTGTGGGAACTGAGGCTGATGGGGGGGGGGGGGGGGGCTGTGGGTGATTCTGGGACAGGGATGAATAAGCGGGCGCTGGTGGGGCAAATTTGAGGGCAAGGGCCATTGCTACATCCACAAACAAAGAGCTTGTTTTATTCATTCTAGAGATCAAATGAAATTATGTCAACTTCACTTAACATATCACAAGCAAATTAATGAAACAAAGGTGCCAGAGTGTCTGTGTGTTCACAGTCCATGCCGTTATTAATGGACACAATAAAAGATCACATCTGTATTCCTGCAAGACTTTATGACCAAATAAATCGGATTATTATAACGCCTTTGGCCTCTTTATATGCGCATGAAAATTGTAAACACAGCATGATGAAGCATTGGTACTCCGCTGACTGAGAATGTCATGAGATAATTTACCCTTGATGCTCTGCATGAGTATTTACTGTTTGTATTAACAGTCACACAGCTCGCATGAAATCGCAGTCCTCTTATGATTTGATTTGTACCAGCAGGTGTTGATTGACCTCACATGCTTTCCTGCACTGTCCACAGTTACACAATGCGGTGCAGTAGCAGTCTTGTGTAATTCCACTGAAGCAGCATAGTGTGATAGGCCTTGATTAGGGGGAAATTACTTCCTATTAATTTAATTCCCTTTACCAAGGGCCATTTCGTTGAACTGCCTATTCTGCATGTCTTTGGAAGGAAACCTGTGAGCCTGCAGGAAAGTAAAAGAGGGACTTTTCAAACTCCACAAAGAAAGAAACCCTTCTGACCTTTTGCAAATTAATTCTCACCTATAGCAGGTGGTATCATATATTAAAAACCTTCCACCAAGAAAAAGAAGGTCAGCCATATATTTCATGTCTTCCTATGTGTGAGCGGTGTTTCAAAACTGGTCCATAGGTCCATTCTGAATGGTGCAAATATATTTGTATACCCTCTATCCGTTTCACAGAGAAACCATTTAACTGCCTCGTTATGAACATGTAACGGTGTAAAAAACACAAGGCAGTTTGGTCTAATTGCTGTTGCAACTCCTTTAATGTCTTTGTTTTCTAAGCCCCAATGGCATATTCTTCTTGCTGTGCATTGCGTTTTATTGGGTTTGAACACCAAATTAAATCAGGTTTAGTTTAATTGTCATGTTGTGAAATGAATTGAAGCAAATTGAAGAGCCTGTAAGATTTAATGAGGTTGACCCTAAGGGGTAGGAAAGCAAGGAACCACTGGTTTGAAGTTTATTCAAATGAACATGTCTCTGATTACTGTCACACTCCTAGGTTTATGTCACGGTTTTAGTGTTGTCTGTCTGGTTATGGGTTTTGTAAGTCTGTTTATTCTGT